GGCGTAGGCAATGAGCAAGGAGTCTGAGAGGCATGTAGAGCAGCCAGTCTTCAACGAGTCCATGTGGCCGGGCCTGGGGAACCAGAAGCGGCCCAAAGGGCACGGCCCCTCCCCCCAGGAGTCAAGAACAGGAGGAGCAGGAGTAGCTGACGCATGCTCCACTCCCCCCCCAGTCCATAGCCGGTCGGCATAACCGGCGACTCCAAGGTGCCAGGTAGATACTGCCTCCTGTGACGAGAAACAAACTCTCCTGAGGCATCACTCAACGAACACTCGCCTCCGCTCTTTGGACATGACAGTCACCCGTTAGCACCCCCCCGCCTTTCCGACGTGGCGTCTCCATCCTAAAACCGTGCACGTCGGCCATATCGGGGGGGGGGGGGGAATTTCCATGTTACTACCCCATCGCCTTTCCGACGCGGCGTCACAACCAGTAGCACGCGTCGGCCATATCGGGGGGGGGGAATTTCCATGTTACCACCACACCGCCTTTCCGACACGGCGTCACAACTAGTAGCACGCATCGGCCATGTCGGGGGAATTTTAACCCAGTCTCTCTCCAAGACTCACATCGCAGCATATAGCTGTACCGACCGAGCTGAGACGACCCATCATTCACTCACTGCACAACATGCACCCTAACAACTGAGGGATACAGTCCCAACGTAACGGGACAACTACACCTGACGAATCTCCAGCCCACTGTTTCAACGCGCCTCGGAGTGTTTCAATCTCCGGGCCGTCTGGGCGAGCCTACAGCTCCAGACACACCACGGAGGGTCTCAACCTCCGGGCCGTCAAGTCAAGCCGTCAGCCATTGCATGACGGGACCACAGCTCTCCGAGCCATGTGAGCGCACAGCCCACTAGGCTAGACATGCCACGGAGTGTCTCTATCTCCGGGCTGTCAGGTCAAGCCGTCAGCCATAGCATGACAGGACCACAACTCTCGTGTTAGACACGCAACACCCACTGGGCCATCCTGGTCAGGATCTGCACCCCAAGATATTTGAGAGCCAGCACGCCAATTCCAAATCCCTGGCAGCATGTCGCCATCTCAAGATAAATGCCCCATACAGTCTATACATCGTTAATGACAGCACAAGCTATACATTAACAATCACGAACAAAGCTCCATACAAACCATACATTGTTAACAAGCACAAGCAAAGTTTCGCACACACATTGACAACACTCACGAGTGAAGCTCCACACAGTTTAGCCAACAACAATCACGACTCCCCAACGACAACGAAGAAAATGTCAACAAAAATCATTAACCCGGAGCGCGCAAATGGACGAAGTGTCAGGGGCCTGGTCTCCCGACCTCCAACCTTTGGCCAGAGCAAAGGCGACGACCAGCGTGTCGATCGATGTGCCGACCTCGGCGCCGGTTACAGTAAGAATGGCGCCCTCACTGTCCGGTCGCAGCGCTGATGACGCGGAATGCAAGGTTGAAGCCAGCTGACGTCCGGCGGTGAAGGTCGCAGCGCTGATAATGCGGCGTTGTTTGGTTGGACCACGCTGGGCCCGGAAGTGACGTTGCTCCCAGCGGTCATTGCTCCCTCGGCGGAAGTGACGACACACCCGGAAGTATCCCCCACATTTGTGGCGGAAATACCGGTGGCGGGAATGCCGGTGGCGGGCTCGGGCGAGCGCTGCGCCTCTTCTCTCCCTCCCGCCATCGCATGTGAGCGCCGCATCTCGCCCAGGATGGAGGCGGTGGCGCAGAGCAGCTCTGTGAGGCGAAGCAGCGCTTCCTCCATCCCTGCTCCCGACGCTGGAGAGGGGACGGCCGGTGGAGCAGACAGCTGCTCAGTCGGCGGTGCGGCGTCGTCGGCCGGCGGTGCGGCGTAGTTGTCGGCCGGCGGTGCGGCGTCGTCGGCCGCGATTGGCCGCCCCATCGCTGCTTGCTCCTCGACATCGCCGTCAGGACTGAAGGTACGTCGCTTACTTGTCTCCATGGCCACTTCTGACTCCAAATGTAATGGGTTCCGGAAACACTTGTAGAGGTAACTTCTTTATTACAATCCAACACTCCAACAGTCCTGATACTCTGTTACAGCCTAGGTACACAGCCTAGGTACACAGCCTAGATACACTACTATGGCTACGCTCTGGGACTCGCCCTTACAAGGACGTAGAGCCGGGAGTTCCATAGTCCCACCACTGGCCCTCACAGCGTCCCAGGGTCCTCAGATGGCTGGTTTTGGGTCTTGTGTCTTGAGCTACAACTGGCCCTGATCGTCCAGGGAGCTCCCTTTTTATGCCTAGTCCCCAACGAGGGGTGGGGCCGTGTGCGCCCCCAGATATCCCACAGAGCACACACAGCCCCCCCCCCCCCCCCCCCCCATTGGTGGCGCCAAGGGGCTGAAGCGCCTGGGCCGCCTGGGAAACCAGCGCCTGGTGCCAAGGGGTCCAAGCGCCTGGGCCGCCCAGGGTCCCAGAGCCCCCCAGCAGCCCCTCTCCTCCCATGTCACTACACATGCGATGCGAGATCGTTTGCACCTGCAACTTTCTTGACTTTGAGTTTCAAAAACTGATCCGTAATTTTTGGACGTTTATGTTTTTCCGTCATACGAGTCAGACCTGCAAGTCGTGTCAAGAATTTTTTTGCGAATGTTGTAGCAGAACAGACGACCCACCGCAGCAGGGGCTGCATGAGCTGCGGGTGACCGAATGCGAAAACGGCGATGGAGGGGAAAACACAGGCACGCGCCTTCGAGAGGAATCACGTTTATTCGGCACACCACTCCCGTAGCCCAGAGACAAGTTTCATCAGAAACAAGCCGTCTGAAAAAAAAAATCCCAACCCACTACCGCTGCTCGGTTTAGGAAATTTGACGGAAACAGCTGTTGTTTAAATCCCACGATGATCCGCGACTCCGCGGAACGTAAAATGTCCTCTAATTGTTGTGAAACAGATTGGCTCCCCACCCCCAACCGTGTTGTTGGTCGGCACGATGTCTGTGACGTTTTGTTCCGCAAGCTGCCAGTTTCTTTGAAAACTAGTTTCTGAAGCATCGGAGAGATTACCAGCATGTGCGCGAAAAGCTGTTGATGTATAATGTTTCGTCACCTTTAGTTAGGTTTGGATAAACCACGCGTATATTCTGATAGTGGGTCATTTGCAAACAAATACATGCATACTGTAAATGAAATGTGTTCAGAATAAACAACTTAACGTTGAGCATGGCGGTAGTGCGTGTTGCATAGTCCAATTCCCCTAGCCGTTGTATACGTGGGTGCTATCGTCATGGTTCGGGTGGGTGCCTGAAACAGGGGTTAGCAGACCACACCGACCTACAGCTACATGAAGGTCTTTCCTCTTCGATGTCATTGTTTTATTAGAGATTGTTTCGTCACCTTTAAAATATTATTTCCATACACGAACATCGATTGCCAATCTCGTAAGAAGACGAGCAGGCCTGAGCCGGGATAATGCTTGAATTTGCGACCACCTGTCACTACCACGTGTTGTAGCCTTGGGCTGCAGTAATCTTGTCCTAAAGACGAGCTCTCTCCTGCCACAGAAATGTGGAATGTCCACCACTGGCTCAAGGTTAAGTTTGAGCGGACATGTTGACTTATGACCACACTCTTAATGTCCTTTCTTGTAACCAATATGAAACTTAAAAGGTAAAAATGTCGACCTTGCATTCTAAAAGTAGGTGGAGTGACAAAATCAGGTCGTGAGCAGGTGGTAAAATTGACTGTTGCTTCACTGTTTGTGGTGATATTAATCTATTTAATTTTACAAGGTAAAGCCCACTGAGCTATTAGCTAGTTTCAGATAGCTTACAGCAAGTGGCTGATATAATCATCACGTGGGAATTTATAGTGGCAGCCAAATCATATCAATGCGAGTTCATTCTCAATGTGGAGGAACGCAGAGAACAATCCACGCAATCATCACGGGGGGGGGGGGGGGGGGGAGGGAGAGATCACACGGACTCCAAAGATACAACAGGGTCCGGGATCGAACCCACAACCTCCTGCGTACAAAGGCAAGGGGGAGATAACTTCTCTTCTTCCCACCGCGGCGTCCCGATTGACATTGGATGGTGCTGCCTCGACAGGTAAACGGAGTTGGCTGCAGCGGTTCTGCTGTTACGAGACACTGAGGGCCCTGCAGAGGTCGCAACCGGGTACCAGATACCCGTACCCTACCCGATACCCGGCTACCCAGGTATCGGGTACGGGTAGGCCGTGAGTCACTGGCGAGTAACCATTTGTTACTCATTTCCAAACGTTTTGTCTCTTCTCACAATTCAAGTTCCTAGAATCAACCTACCCGCACCTGCAACATGGCTTCATCCCAGAGGTCGCAATCGGGTACCCGTACCCTACCCGATACCCGGCCGGGTTCGGGTAGCCGGGTATCGGGTAGGGTACGGGTAACCGTTTGCGACCTCTGGGGCCCTGGCAGGAGGCTCCTGGCTGTCTGCTAGGGGCTCTGTACTGCCCTCTTGTGAGCCCACCTCGCTCTTGCAGGCTTGGAGTCCACAAGACAGCGGTTCTCAACCCCGAGGAAAGCCTTCCAGGGTGGAGTGGGGGGGGGGAGAAGTGGTGGGGCAGGCTGCGGCATGGACACCGTGCAGGAAAAGTGTCGAATCTCGCGCGGGGAACATCGGTGCCGCTGATACACAACGTGCAGCACGTGCCTAACACAAGACACCAATAGAGATGTTCAAGCGCACGAGTGGGGTGAGGGGGGGGCATGAGGACCCTGGTCTTGATTGAGGGGCTGCAATAACAAACAGGTTGAGAACCACCGCCCTAGTACCAACACATTGTACGAAAGCCTCAAGCGGATTGGAGATTTATAGTGGCCCCTCCGATAAAGACGACGGATTGACAGAGAGAGAGCTGAGGCATCAATGCCTTCAAGCTATGCAGCAGTGCGCAAACAAAATCCCACCCCCCGCACCCCCTATTGATTCTTACACACGTGATTCAATGTATCTGTAATAAACGACTTCCACAGCGAGAGTTGCAAGAGTGCTTCTTTATTAACTGTAGTACTGCACAATTCCTCTCCTTCCCTCTGCGGGTAATTTCCCTTCTCACAACGCCATGGACGAGGCGTCTCTCTCCGGTCCACCAGCGAGGTTCGCTCCGCTCCCCCCCCCCGCCCCCCCCCCCCCCCCCCCCCCGGTCTTGCCGTTGTCTGGTGGCGTGCCGGGGAGAAGAGGCGAGCTTCACTGGGGAGAACCGGCCACGCGAAGAGAGGGGGTGACGAGCAGCGACGCAGTCCGGACCTAGGCCTCAGCAAGGTAAGGTAAAAGTGTAAAAACAAAAAGCCTACCTTTACCCGACCTTTTACCTTACCACAATACAATCACTCTACCCTACCATTTACCCTTTAGCAGGTAAGGTAAAAGGTAAAAAGCAACGAGGCTACCTTTTACCCTACCCTTTTCCCTTACCCCTTGGCATGTCGACACCTTTACCCTTTTACCCGGTAAAAAGGGTACAATTACCTTACCTTGCCAAGGCCTACCCGGACCCCAGGCTCCCCGCACCAACCACGAGTCCTCCCCTGCCCCTGCTCATATTTTCCCCGGTGAAGCTAGGCTCCGCCTCTAGTCACACCCCCTCGTGGAACCTTCCCGATGGTTCCCGAAGCATCTCTCTCGACTCCGTCTGTCACTTTTGGCCAAGATGTTATTCCCTCTTAGGATTGGATGCTGATTACATAATAGTGCCTGTATCCAGTTACACCCACTGGATCGCACTCTCTCATTACACATCTACCGGCAGGGTAGAACCCTTTTTAAAAATGGGAGAATCAGTACGAGCCCCCTGCCTAGTTCCACTTGATCCCCAGCAGCTTGCAGCTGAGGGTCCACAGCTTCTGGGCAGCGGCGTCGTCGCTTGCCAGGGATGACACGTTCTTTGGGGCACAGTCGCTGGAACGGAAGCAACACGGACAACGTTGGGAGGTGCCCGGGGTGGCTAAGAGGTCAAGAGTTCAAGCGGGACCGCTGAGATGCTGGGATCCGAATCGACGTTTCGGCCGCCGTCTGTCGTCAAGCAAAGGTTCTCGAGTGCGGCGAGGTTGACGTTTCACCAATGGATGCACAAAAACACCCATCACATTTGATATTCCACCTGTATGTATGCATGCAGAACTTCTTTTGCACCGTACGTAGCCAACTGTGCTAAATGGAGGTGCGGGCATATTAAAGTATCCTCTGGGATTCATACTCTTTGGTTTTTTCGGTAAAGTCACGTGGGTTAAAAGAAAACATTAAATCACGATGTTTTGGAAGCAGCAATTTTGCTGTGACGGTTTCACCTGAAGACGGAAGCTTGTGTTGCCTCCGAAACGTCGTGATTTCATTTATTTGTTTTCTTCTAACCTACGTGAATTTACCGAAAGAATCAAAGAGTATGGATCCCTGCAGTCACGAAAACTCCAAATCTAAAGTATCTGGAAATTAAAGTGTCGGTTTGCCTGCCATGCACTGAACACTGCTGTCATGTGCAGAGCAGCTGGGTGAGTGCTGCCGACTATTGTGGAACAGAGGTCACCTGGAGAGGGGGTCTCAAGAGGTAGCTCTCTTAAATCTGCGCTGATGTTGGTCGTAACCAGGAATCAAACTCGGGGCCCCTTGCCGGTTTTGCAGCACGGTGCACTTACCACCACACACACGTACACGCACAACAATCATCATTCGCCATGAAGTGCCAGTGAAGTCACCACAGCACTTGTGTCAGACACGCACTTAAACAAACACACCACACACACACCTGAAGTAGACGCCGGTGACGTTTGCGAGCTCCTCAGCCACGGCGCAGTGGATGCTGGTCTGGGCGCCCTGCGCAGGGGTCTTGCTTATCGGCCACAGGATGCGCTGTATGGCGCGCACCACGCCCACGTGGCGCTGCAGGTCGGTCATCACTGAACCGGGGTGCAGCGAGTTGACCGTCACGCCCGTGCCTGGCGGAGGAGCGCGATCGGAGACAGCGGCGGGCAGCTACGACGAGACGCTTCAACGCATTTTGTATACATGTGTAGAGAAGCTCCCACGGACGCACTCGGAGACGGAGGTAGCGTTATGGGCTTTCGCCGAGGGTTTATTCAAGCTTAATAACACAACTCCCAGGGGCTAGGGGTCCTACTCTGAGTCTGGGTCCCTGCCGGCTAGCTCCGGTCTCTCTCGTGTCGGATCGGGGACTCTGCCGACTCCAACGACCGGAGAGAAAAGCACCTCTACGGCTACCACCGGCTTCTGCCCAGACTCACTATTCAATCCCCTCTCTCTACCCCTGGTTCCCTCACTCTACCCGTTCCCACAGTGACCCCGCTTACGTCACGGGGTCTCCCTTAAGTACCCTAGGAGACGTGACGTCATCGCACTGAACGGCACACCTGACATCACGTCCCCATTTTACTCCTCTACACATGTGTAATGATTCTCGGATGACCCGAACTGCAGAGGTTTCTTTATTTCTTATTTAGGGCACTTCATGCAGATATCTTGGGCCAGAGATGACGCACAGATAACTCGGGCCAGGAATGGCACGCAAGCGGCGACGACGCGAAGACAGCTACGGCATGAAGACAGGATAGCGTGGAGACATTCGACCCCGATCCCACGGCAGCCCCCAACCTCGCCTCTCACCTCCTTTTATTCCCGGCGTGGCCCTCACTCTGCCCCCGGCGACGCCCCCTTTCTCGAACCCTCTAGCCCATTCCCAAACTTCCCAGATGGTTCCCCCTCCGTAATTACCCCTCGTGACCACTGGGCCACATACTGTTTCTGCACTCGCACTGTCTCCACACAGGCACTGTCTGTATAGTATATGTATTCGTACAGACAATACGTACGTTGTTGGGTATGTGTCTGGCTGGGTGAGTGGGTGTCGTGGCTGAGTGTAGGTGTTGTGTATGGAGGAGGCTCGTGAAGGACGCTACTGGGTAAGTGGAGGCAGTCGCCCTCCAATGTATGGCGGAGGAGCGATGGTCACAACATTGCGCATCTGCGAGTCCTCTCAGTCAACCCATAACACCTGGGTCTGTTTTGTGACCTCCTACTAGCACTACAAGTGGCCTCAAAGGGCGACTAGCCTGGCACAAATGCCGTGGTGACGTCACTGCCGCTTTGTGGCAAATGGTGGATGGGCAGCTGTATGCGTGCGTGGGTAGGCGAGTACATTATTCAATAAGTGTGTGTATTGGTGGGTGCATGCATGGGTGCGTGTCGGTGCGTTGTTGAGTGGGTGGAGACATCGTTGGGTAGGTGCTTAGGTGTGGTACGTGTGGAGATGTAGGTAGGTAGGTAGTTCGATAGGCAGGTAGCCATGTGGGTAGACGTGTGGACGGGCACTTGGGTGGGCGAGTGAGCGCCTCTGTAGGCAGGCAGGTAGCTACACAGGGCGGCGGAGGTACCTTTGAGGCGCCGGGCGTGCTCGCGGGTGAACATCACGTTGGCCAGCTTGCTCTGGCAGTAGGCGCTGTGCCGGTTGTAGAAGCGCCGCTCGTAGTTGGGGTCCTCGAAGTGGATGCTGCCGTAAGCGTGTACGAAGGAGGACACGTTGATGATGCGCGCGGGCGCCGAGCGCTTGATGAGGTCCTCCAGGAGGTGAGTCAGCAGGAAGTGACCTACGGAGGGCACACGCCAACATAGAAGATGCACGCGCATGGGTCGATCGAGACAGCTGGGTGGTTTGGTTCGTGCGGTTGGGGGCGGGTCAGTGTGTGGGCAGGTAGTAGCTGGGTGGATAGGTGGGTGCATGCGTGATTTGATAGGGAGGTAAGTTGGTGGTAGGTAGGTGGGTGGGCAGGTGGGGGGATGGTTGGATGGATGGGTAGTAGGTGCATGTTGTGTGTGGGTGGATGGGTTATTTAATAGGTAGGTAAGGAGGGGGGTGGATTTGTGGATGTGTAGGTTTGTAGGTGATTTGGTAGATAGGTGGGTGGAATAGTGGATGGTCAAGTGGCCAGGGAGATAGGTGAGTGGGTGGATAGGTTATTTTTCAGGTAGTAGGTAAGTTGTTTTGTAGGCAGGAAGATCTCTTGAATGTGAAGACTCATTCATAATTTCTCAAAGCATGATTAAATTTTTGCACCTCAGATTAACGCGGTTGGCTACGTCCGGTGCGAAAGAAGTTAAACAAACACATACAATTAAACACAACTTGCATAAAACTTAATTGCAAGGTCTGGATTGAAAGTAAAATTACGTAAAAAGAAAAAATCCCAACCAATCGTTCCGAACGTGCCGGACGTAACGAATGAGGTTTGGGCAAGCGGAGGCCGGAGCCAGGGGCTGACGGAGAGACGGCACCTTACCCAGGTGGTTCACCCCAAACTGCATCTCAAACCCCTCGGCCGTCTTGGAGAAGGGGCATATCAAGCCCGCGTTGTTGATCAGAATGTTCAGCTTCTCCTCCTCTGCAGGACAAAAAAAAGGAACAACAGCATCAGACACACTGTGCGAGTTGTATATTTTTCAAAAGTTTTTGTCTCGCCAATTTAATTCATCGGTGTCGTGGCGTGAGATTGAGAATCCATTCGGAAACATATCTTGAGAGCTGCGCAACTATTTGCGTTTGGAGAATGGCCGTTGTGAAATGGACATCACAGAGTTACTTGTGAAGGTCGTTCACGTGACCTCTGCTTCACACGGTAAAGTGGTAGATATTACTGGTAGTAACCTGGTTACACCAGCCCACAGGGGATTATTGTGTCCGTCGTGCAGGGAGGGACTGGGTGGGGAGAGAGGGGCTGGGTGGGGCTGGGTGGGGAGGAGAGGATGGGGCTGGATGGGGGGTGGGAGGGGTGGGGCTGGGTAGGGAGGGGCTGGTCACCCCGTGGTGTCCTTATAAAACTCAACGTTTAACCTACTCACGCCGGCTTGTGCCCGCCCTCACAGTCGGGCATATTTGCGGAATACACCACGCCGCCATTGACCCTGGCCATTGACTGACCAACCCAACGTGCCTACCAGCTCCCTCCGCAGGAGGAATGTGTTTCCCACCTGCTTTACCACTGGGAGTAACGTTCGTTGAACGACGGTCCAACCGATTATTTGTCAGTCTCAGAGCTGGAATTGAGCCAAATGAAGGGCACAATAAAATCACTGGTAACGGAACACACATCTGGAACCTGCACATGGTCAGCCCATGTGCAGGTTCCAGATGGATCATTACAAGGCAGGCCCGTGACAGATGGCAACGGCTTGTGGAGGCCGTCATCCAGCATTGGATTGATCATGGCGATGGAAAAGACGATTGATAACTGAACTGAGACCATTCGCCTAACTCTATTCGAGTGCCTTGTTTAATCACCCATGGACAAAACAAAAACTCAGCAGCGCTGAATCAGCATCTCAGACATGGGAATCATGAACGACCAGAGCTAAGGTCTCTTCCCATAGAACCGGCCGGGATGCTCAGTGGTAGAGCAAGTGGCTTGCAGTCCGAAGGTTGCGAATTCAAACCCGGATTGGGTTGTGACTCAGCCATCCCACTGGTATCAATAAAATGAATGCTGCCATTTTCCAGGCAACTCAACGGTGGTTGTCCTATGGCAGTGTTCTTCACTAATTTTCAGAGGGTAGCCACTTTAGCCAATAAGACATCAGTGCGAGGGCCGTCACACTGTCTGCAAGACAAAATGACTCACATTTGTGTATTGTCGGGGAGCCGCACGTTAGCGGCTGCACTAAAAGCCACCAGGGACCGCCAGTGGCTCGCGGGTCTTGCAATGAAGATCACCGTCCTCTGGAAAGACTCCCCTTCGCCGTACGAATATGGAAAATTTCACCACTGGCTCAGGGCAGTGTAAAGAGGAGATGAGTTGTGCGTGGCTCAACGATGGCTCGAGCGGAATAAACCACTGCGACATTTTTCACTTGACCGCCATGGGCCGAGAAACCGACCGACTGACCGACCTTTGTTGATGCGCTCGGCAAACTCGCGGATGGAGGCGACGCTGGACAGGTCCAGCTTGCGCACGAGCACCTGCGGGTTGTGCGTCTTCACGCGGATGTCGACCGCCACCGCGTTGCCCTTTTCCACGTCGCGGCACGCCAGGATGACGCGCGCACCTGACCAATGCGTGCGTGCGTGTGAGCGAGCGTGGGTGAGTACGCAAGCGGCGCGGCGGAGCGTCGGCACTCGAGCCGGCGGTCCAGAGAGCCAGCGAGGCGAGCGAGTGAGCGAGCGAGCGAGCCAGCCATCGGCAGAGTTAAACGAGTGTACGGGTCAATCTAGATTTCAAGTTTTCGTGACTGCAGGGATCCATACTCTTTGGTTCTTTCGGTAAAGTCACATAGGTATCAAATTAAATCACGACGTTTCGGGCGCAACACAAGCATCCGTCATCAGGTGGGACAACCAGAGCAATTGTTTCTTGCTGTGGTCCCACCTGATGACGGACGTTTGTGTTGCGTCCGAAACGTCGTGATATAATTTATTTTGTTTTATACCTATGTGACTTTAACGAAAGAACCAAAGTTAAACGAGTGTACGGGTGGTGTCCGTACTCAAGGCACATTGTGATCTATCAGAATCAGAATATTTATTTATACTGGAGTCAACTGATGAGCTATAAAGATATGTTTCACAGACGTCTGATTGGGGCCTGTCAGAACGTTATAACATCAAACAATACAGAAACAAATCAGTTTAACGCATAAGCTTTTGCGACCAATATCATTCATAATGTAGGTTGTATTTTTTGTGTTAGATCGCGTAAATATAAATGTGTCGTTAAATCCCCCACCACCCAACACAGCCAATTAGTAAGGTTTGCCACGTCAACAGAACGTGCCAATTCGTTACTATCCAGGTGAACAGCCAGAAATCTTGCTGTCCGCCTGATGATGCTAGTTGTAATTACTGGCAAAACGTCGTACTCAGATTGTAAATGTTGTGTATTTGCTCGCCAACACACCGGTGTGCTGTACTAGTTACGAATGTGCACGTTCTGTTTCCATGACAAACCTTACTCATTGGCTGCTTCGGGTGGTGGCGGGTTTAACGGCACACTTTTTTTTACGCGATCTACCCCAAAAAAAACCGGTATTATGGATGGTATTGCTCACGAAAGTCTACGTGTTAAACAATTTATATTAACATGGGACCTTTTTTTGGCCAGTATCAAAGTTTGTTTTATTTCCAGAAAACATCACTTCAAAATCACTTTAAAAACATATAAATAAAACTAAACTATAACTCAACACATTGGTCTATAACACTGTCCTTAAAAGGAAATGTAAAAATTGTATGATAGGCAAAGTTTTGGAAATGGCTCTTCTTTATTGCTTTGAAGAACGTGTTGAGGTGTTGTTATTTGCGCTGACGCACCACTGTCAATGGGATATCACATATGTTTCATGAAAAACTAGGATTAAATGTGTTCCATTAAATTACTAACAACATTACCATTGTTAATATTAGAAAATAAGAATTTCCTGACCAATGTCAATCCAGATGAATATATTTTTAAACCCATTCATCCCCTGACATGCTGATGTTCTTTGGGCATACCAATAGATTCTGCAACGTATCCTGAGCCATGCGACTACAAGGTACCATGGACCGGACTAGAACAAGCATTGTTAATTTGCAATCCGAATAATCTGACAATGGAGAACTCAGAATGAACTAAGAATGAACTATGTTCGAGAAAAAACGATGAAGTATTCCCCACCTCGTTTGGCTAGATCAAGGGCGGTTTCTTTGCCAATGCCAGTGTTGGCGCCGGTTATGATCACCGTCTTGCCGTTGAGTTGAGCCTTGCTGGTGCAAATGCCACCTGAAAAGTAGCGCCTGAAAGACAAATGAGGCTGCTTTACAGTTACAATTTAAAGGCAAAGGTCAGAGTGATTTTCTCATCTCCCACTCACAGCCCTGTTGCGTTTGCTGGAAATTCCTCATTCCTACCGAGGGGGAATGAGTCTATCCATATGTAATGCGAGCAAGGACAGGGTGGGTGCTCCCTCCGCGCCACTCACACGGGCCGGAGTATTGGGGAAGCGGAGCCTGGTCGACGGAGCGTGTGGGAGGAGCCACTGCTCACCTCGGCTCCAATGGGAGTCGGGGTGAGTGGGGGGCGGAGACAGGGGCAGTACGGGGAGGAGGAGTCAGGGTCAAGTGAGAAGGAGGATATAGGGTGAGAGCCGGAAGAGATATGGGAGTGGGAAGAGAGTGGAAAGAGGGGAGAGCCACACTGGGTGGTGGCGGAGGAGTGGCGCCATTTGCCACGTGGTCGGAGTCACGGCACCGTCGGCCAGCGGTGTAGGTGGGGTAGCAGTAGCTAGCGGAGTGTGAGGAGCTGGCGGGGTGTGAGGAGTTAGAGTGTGTGGGGCACACGGAGCAGCGGTGTGGCTGCGGGGTGTGCGGGGCACACGACGCGTGCGCGGGGTGCATGACAGAAGAGACGCGGGTCCGACCGTGGACGCAGCGGGTGCGAGACAAGAACCCAATAAAGGACAAACGGAGACTGACATCGCCTGCAGAGTCCTTTATTACATTTGAGTCAGAAGTGGAACGGGATGTCGAAACATCTCAAGAAAAAGAACATACCTGCACCATCTTCTGAAGACGACGACGATCTTCGGCGGTGGCGCTCCCGACGATGGAAGGCAGAGGCGACGCAGGGACGGGCGACGCGCCGGGAGTGCAAGATGTTACCGGGGCGGCTGGACCGTCTGCATCGGCGGGCGCCGAGGAGGGATGGCGACACGTGGCGGCCCAACTTGATTCACTGCGGGGTGTGCGGGGCACACGACGCGTGCGCGGGGTGCACGACAGAGGAGACGCGGGTCCGACCGTGGACGCAGCGGGTTCGAGACAAGAACCCAATAAAGAACAAACGGAGACTTACATCGCCTGCAGAGTCCTATATTACACACAGGCCAACCGCAGTTGACATCCACAAAAGTGGTGTCCATTTTTTCTTATTGACACTAGAAAGTTGAACGGGCAGAGTCAACCCCCAAGTGGGACTTCAACTCGCGACCTTCCGATACGCAAGCCGCTTGCTCCCTCTACCACTGAGCCACGAACGTACAAATCCTAATTATGCCTGGACATGCACTTCTGGGTGAGGGCCTCTCCACACCGGGGGAGGGGGGGGGATCATGGGACTTACTTGACCATACTCATCGGTGACCTGGTTTAGACCATCATTGCACTACATTTGAGAGGCCCAGTTCAGACGCTGGTGGCTTGAATATTAACCCTGGGACTCAAGCTACGTCCGATTAGCATGACAAATTGCCATGTGAGGCCTTGAGTTTAACTTACTGACACGTCCAGCGGTCAGTGCAGGTTTTGACGGCAGGGAGCATTAGACGTGGGTGGACACAGAAGTAGAGTACAACAATGGATGTTTGCGTGCACTGCCCTCTTGTGGCCGATCACTCGTAGCGCTCATAGCAGCCGATGACAATCTGTCACCGTGCACGGCGGTCGACCACCATCCAGGCACATCCGAGGCTCAATCGGTGCTCCATGGCTCTGAAGATCTAGCACATTCCTGGCGATTCGGTCAAAGGCCTGTCGGTGTGTTTATTCGTGCGGTTTCGCTTGTTTGACCAGGATTGCATCACCGATCAGGGGGTGGCGATGATTTCTACAAGCTGGGCGAACGGCGCTACCTCCCATGTCGCCTGCTGGCTGCCTGCTGATGATGAAAACGCAATGTCATTGTTTCTCATGAGACACCGAATGTCAAAATCGGTGCAGAGTTTGAGCTTTTTTCCCAGTGTCCTTGTTTCTCATGAGACGCTCAATGTCAAACCCGGTCCAGAGTTTGGGGGTTTCTGTTGTTGCTTGTGTTGAGTTGAACCACAATGATGCTGCTGAAATGATCCGCTACCAGAATTCGAATTCCGTGTGGCTGATGGAATGTGTGCAAAATATGTCTGTACTCCTTGTGTTGTGTGCGAGAAGGCCTGAGTTTCTTACCGCTCTCTCACCGACCCGACTCATAAAACAGTCACACGCAGTCTTCCTGGAACTCTTCGCTGACTCTGTAATATACTGTCATAATATTTCAGCCTTTTGTCAATCAACTGCTGGATATTGACCCATTTAGTGGCGTGTGTGTGTGCCCTGAAATGCACCCGACAACCAGAATTTGAATCGTGGCCAACGGCTAACATCAGTGGCGAGCAATCGGATCTGATCGTCGCCCCGCGCACAGGCCAGCGTGATGAGAGATATGGTCAAACAATCTTCACGTGTGTATGTTAGTATATCATGGACTAGCTTTAACTACCCGGCTTCGCACGGGACTTGGATTCACCACGCCCGACCGCCTTTGTCTTCCCAGTGGCGATGTTCACACACCACACCAGTTACTCGTTTGAGGCTGAGTCGACCTAGGGGAGGCCCAGGACCGGTTCAAATAATCGTCACCGGTGGTGGCCGTGAGCGGGAATCGAACTCGGGTCGCCAGGTTCGTAGCGCAGCGTAGCGCTAACCGCTACACTGCAATGCGTGACGTTTCCACATGCGCGGGTCACGTGACAGATTTGACCTCACAAGTCACTTGCCGTGCAAAAAATATCTGCATTATTGAGCCCCCCCTTCCCCCCCCAAAAAAAACAAAAGTGTATTTTTATCATTTGTGCATGGTGTACAGTCTGGAAAGTACCCACATGGCAAATTTCAAGTTTGTTGCATGTCGGGAAGTACGCTAAACATTTTGAACACACACATACCCACAACTTTGCCTGTTATGTATAGAGAAGATAAGATGTACGTTGAACTTCTTTCGCACCGTACGTAGCCGACCGTGCTAATCTCTGAAAGCTTGCGGCGGGGAGGTGTGGGGGGGGGAGAAGGCATTCATCCAGCAGTGGATTGACTAAAGGGCAGGGCTTGTCACCTATTGCACGAATTATATAGCAAGTGTTGAAAGCAGTGTGTGATAGATTCGTTAGTTTACGAGTGAATGGTCATGCGGCCGTGACGTTGCATTCTGTACGTGCTGTTAAAGTGCCCGAGGGAGAGAGAAAAATGCCCCTTCCATCGCAATTCTCCCGATCTCGTGGCAAATGCGGAAAACCACGCCAAGAGGGTTGTTGAGTCTGCGCCGTGCGTGGATGGGGCCGGCCACCGCACTAAGCGGATTCGCTACGCAGGCTGCTGCCAGGCAGGCAAAATCCATTTGGTTGGTGGATGTCAGCGTGCGAAAAAGCACATGCTGTCCGCGTGGTTGAAGCGTGGTCGAATGACAAAACATCCTTCACGTTGTAGTAGTAGGTTTTTACCCTTTTAAACTGGTACAAAACTGACACCTTTATTCAAGGCATCATGTTTGCAATAACCACAAGACAAGTAGTCAAAAAAGCAAACAAAAAGAAGCAACTCTGATAATGATAATAATAATATCCTTCACGTGCATCGCCTGCACGAACTGCACGCACGGCCTAGGCAGGCGCTCGTGGCGACGCAGCGATAACCACGGCACCACCGACTCCGCCTCCCCCACCCGCGATGCGTTGACGAATGCACCAAGTCGAATGCGAATCCACGTTCGAAAAGCCTTGCTCGCTCCAAAACATGGACGCATTTATTTCGATGTAAAATTGTAACCGCGGTGAGCTGTGAGCAGCAGCAGCTGCGTGGGGGAGGGGGAGCGGTGGCGCAGTGGTTTGCGCCACCACGCCGCGTCCCAGTGTCCCTACACCACTTTGAGCCGTCTGGTGGCATTCGAATGAGTTCTGCTAACACCCCCCCCCCCTTCCCCTCCCCTGTCTGGTGAAGAAGCATGGCCCAGCCAACAGGTGATGACTGACACCGCAGTCGCGGGACTGCAGGACGCGTTCATCGTCGAGCGGGTGGATCGACCCCACGATGCGCGCGCGTGTCGCGTGGAACAGGCGACGAGTGAAGTGGTGAACGCGTTGGTTGCAAGAGCCCTTACCGTATGCGAGGGCCGAGGAACGCGAGAAGCAGAATCGGTGGCACCGTGGCGTACACAATTGTCCACGCGTCCATCGTTGCAGAGTGGCGGTGGTGGACGGGGGGACGCGGATGATGATTCTCTTCCAGTTATTCCGAGGCGCGCGCGGGATTTGTGAGTTGTGTGTCCGAGTGTGTTTGGGGAGGGTGGTGGTGGTGGTTTTGTTTGAACAGCTCAAACTCCCCAAGTACAGGGCGGCGAAATGTCCCAGCTCACTCGGAGTGTGTGCGTATTGGTGGGGGGGGGAGGAGGCATTGCGTGTGTCAAGGCGAGAGGCAATTGCCTTTCGCAATCGCGCAGAATGCGGAAATGAGCTGAAACACCGGTGGGTTGCAAGGAGATTGGTCCTGCTGAATCCAGAGCTCTCTCTCTCCTCTCATTATATCCCCTTTTTAAATCCTTTATATTAAGTTTGCTTGCTTGCTTGCGTGCTTGCTTGCTTGCTTGCGTGCTTGCTTGCTTGCGTGCTTGCTTGCTTACGACCGTGCAAACCTTTCGGTCGTAAACAGTGTAAAATTTTTCCAAAATTTTACACTGTTTAGGGAATTTTTTTAAAAATATGTAATTACCAATTGTTTAATGCTGCCAGACAATCATCTGACCCATAGGTGGCAGCCATCTCAAGCCAGAGGACGAGAGGACTCTAGCCGCCCCGATGCCACGCATATAAAGGATTTATAGTGAAAAACTTTGCTTTTACGGGTTTACTTGTTTTACGATCAGTGGAAACAAGAAGATGCTCGGTGTAGTCGACACTTTGCTTCGTTCATCTCCCCTTCTCTCCCTGCCGCTGGTGTCAGGAAGGGGTCGGCAGTGTGGCGATGATTGATGGGTCGCCAATTTGCTTCTCAGAAAAATGAATACATTTACTTCCAGAGGGAAGCCCATTGAGCAAATATAGTTGTGCGCGTTGCGATTTGCTATCTGTATCATTACAGTATTATTATTGTTGAGGCTTCTTCTTTCGTATGGTTGATGTCGATGCAGAACAACAACTTCAATTTCACATGCAGGTGGTGAAGCCAGATAACCGAATGTTCTTCCTTCTATATATCCTCCTGGTCTGAAGTCAATTCAGATCTATAATCATCATCGCTGCCTGCAATGGCAATACAGTGAGAAGCATTATGTGCGATGCCAGTAGTAGTGGGTGGATGTTGTGTGAACAGCGGCAGTGTTGTGGTCCTCCCAACAAGTGATCATCGAGTGTTGTGAACGTGACGGCTTCACGTCTTACAGCAGAGCAAAAAAACACATTTTTTTAAGATTACGCCTTGGTGGGAGACCTGTCGATGCATTGGAATAAAAATGTGTCTTTCTCTAATGCCACCTCTTGTTTTGTTTTAGTGGGGGTATCGCCCAGAATTATAATTGAATCAAATGCTCTAGTCATTTGGGAGTCTGAGCCGGTGGTTCATTATGGCCGTGGCTTGGAAACAAACTTAAACAATCCTGGGTCATAGTGCAGTGTGCCATACACAATTTGCTTACTGTATTCGGGAGGGGAGGGGTTAACGTGTTAAACTGACTCATTTACTCACACGACCTGCAGGTGTCGCTGTTTCTCGTTATTTCAAACTGTTAAGTCATTTAACAATCCCCTGAATAACAGAGGTGGCCTGGTACCTCTGAGGTCAGAGGTCAGAGCGCTGAGCTGGAACCCTTGAATATCTGGGGTCAAATCCAGGCAGCCGCCTATGAAAAAACTGGGTTCTCAAGAGTATTTAATCCAGATTCTCAAGAGTAAACTAAACTATATTATTATGTATTTTACCAGCTCTTTTTCAGAAGCAACCTGACCACAAATGATAGCCATACCCTCCTGCGTACAAGCTAGGGAGATGTCTTATACTGGTAGGAACCTCCTGGTTACACCAGCCCACAGGGGATTCTTGTGTCCGTTGTGCAGGGAGGGGCTGGGTGGGGAGGGGCTGGGCTGGGTGGGGAGGGTGGGGCTGGGTGGGGGTGGGAGGGGTGGGGCTGGGTGGGGGTGGGAGGGGTGGGGCTGGGTGGGGAGGGGCTGGTCACCCCGTGGTGTCCTTATAAAACTCAACGTTTAACCTACTCACGCCGGCTTGTGCCCGCCCTCACAGTCGGGCATATTTGCGGAATACACCACGCCGCCGTTGACCCTGGCCATTGACCGAGCAACCCAACGTTCCTACCAGCTCCCTCCGCAGGAGGAATGTGTTTTTTTGCACCGAAACACAGCAAGTTGGTCGACAGAAGGGCCGCTCAAATACATTATACTACAGCACACGTACAGCATAGAACAAAAACTCCAGCATAAATATACAATATGCTACGTTTCTGGCAAGTGTTCCTATTCTACAGAACGTAAATGAAAGTGTGCAGTCGAGAGATAAGAGTGGAGAATGAACGAGTTGGAGACTGCTCTCCATTAACAGCGTGGGGGATGATGAGAATAACATTTTTGAAAAATGTATTCCGATAAGCAGTCTTTAAATTGGCGTATGAACAGTTACGCGAGTAGTAGACAATCTTTAAAAAAAAAATTACGAAACATATATCACCATTAAATACATTATATTTCAATTACAACACGCAAAGGCTGCCTTTAACTTTGTGCCCAGCTGTAACACGTGGTCGAAACAAAACAATGACGTAATGCTCAACGCGATTGGCCGCCGCCCCGTAACATTGGGTAGTGACGTCAACGCCCCCCATGCCCCCCCCTAACACCCCATCCTGAAGGCCCCCCCCCCCAACATCCCCCGCCAAGGCCCCCCCCCCCCCCTTTGCGTTCCTGTGACCAATAGGAGAGCGAGAATCTCGGCAGTGGCCGCGCGGTGTCTTCCAGAAGCGGTGGTCAGAGTTCATATGGGTGGGAGGGGGGGGACACAATAGGATTAATCTTCCTATTCATATTCTTGGTTCTTTCGGTAAAGTCACGTGGATAGAAAATACAATTATAACATAAAAAAAGAATAATAAATAGAAAATAATAAAAGCAAAAAAAAACCCCAAAATTAAAATAGTAAAATAAAATTGAAATCTTCCTCTTCCGGAAGATGCACCACTCAATGGGGTGCAGGAGGGTTGGTGGTGGTGGTGGGTGGGGGGGGGTTTCTACGTATTCCGGAAGATGTTTACAAACGCGAGCACGTCTTCCGGAAGATAGGATCGCATTACTGCTCTGCATAGGGGCGTCGCAGCATTGGTGGGGTCGGCTTTTCGCAGCAGCGGCAAGAAAATTTGAATTGCCGCATATAATAATAATCATCATCGTAACAATTGTAGCCGGCAAATTAATCACAAAACTCGGGGGATGATGAAGGAGGAGGCTCGTAACATGGCCGCGCCGCTCGCCCACTTCGACGAAGATTGGCAAGATCTTTATGAGCTTCGCATGTCTCCTGCGAGAGGCTGCGAGCCCAAGGCTGAACCGTGGAATTCCGATCTCAACGTGACATCCTCATCCCCTCATCTTCAGCATCATCACCAGGCGCAGCAACCACCACCACCTCAACATCTTCCTCCAACATCATCGTCATTTAGTCCGGCAGCCGCTGTTGCTGCTACTGCTGCTGCTGCTCATGCGTCCGAGGTGTTTGGAGATGTTGTCACCGTTAGAATGTTGACGTCCACATCGTCTTCGTATAATATCTCCAGTGCAATCACCACCAACAACATCGGCAGCGGCAACAGCGGCCACATCGCCACGTCCAACACCATCGTCAACGGCACCATCAACATCAGCACCGCCGCCAATGCCACCAATAACATCGCCAAAATCACCGCCTCCACCACCACCAACAACACCACCAACACCACCACCACCACATCGGCCGCGAAGGCATTGGCGGCGTCGTCCACCGATAATTTGGAAGACTTCGCCGACCTGGAGAGCTTCTCGGGCGAGATCGTGAGCTTCAAGTCCATGGAGGACCTGGTGAACGACTTTGACGAGAAGCTGACGGTGTGTTTCCGCAACTTCGACACGGACACGGGCTACATCGCACCCGTCGTGCCGCTCGCCGAACAGGGCTTGAAGCTCAAGGACGATGAGTGAGTATAACCCCACGGGGAGAACACGGGTGGTGGTGGTGGTGGAGGAAATGATGTTGATGGTGGACGAGATGGTCGTGATGGAGGTGTTGGTGATGGTGGTATTGGCTGAGGTGATGGAAGTGATAATGATGGTCGTGATGGAGGTGTTGGTGATGAATGGTATTGGTGGTGGTGGTGGTGGAGGAGGAAACGATGTTGATGGTGGACGAGATGGTGGTGATGGAGGTGTTGGTGATGGTGGTATTGGCTGAGGTGATGGAAGTGATAATGATGATGGTGGTGGTGGAGGAAATGATATTGATGGTGGAAGAGATGGTAGTGATGGTGTTGTTTGGTCGTGCCGCTCACCGAACAGGGCTTGAAGCTCAAGGACGATGAGTGAGTATACCCCCACGTGGAGCACACGCGTGGTGGTGGAAATGATGTTGATGGTGCACGAGATGGTCGTGATGGAGGTGTTGGTGAGGGTGGTATTGGCTGAGGTGATGGTAGTGATAATGATGGTGGTGGTGGAGGAAATGATGTTGGTGGTGGTAGTGATGGTGTTGTTGAAGGAGGTGGTGGTGGTGAAGGTGGTGTTGGTGATGAATGGTATTGGTGGTGGTGGAGGAGAAGGAAACGATGTTGATGGTGGACGAGATGGTAGTGATGGTGTTGGTGGTCGTGGTCGTGGTGGAGGTGGTGGTGGTGATAGTATTGGTGGTGGTGGAGGAGGAACGATGTTGATGGTGGACGAGGCGGTCGTGATGGTGTTGGTGGTCGTGATGGAGGTGTTGGTGAGGGTGGTGTTGTCTAAGGTGATGGTAATGATGGTGGTGGTGGAGGAGGACACGATGTTGATGGTGGACTAGATGGTCGTGGTGGAGGTGTTGGTGAGGGTGGTATTGGCTGAGGTGATGGAAGTGATAATGATGGTGGTGGAGGAGGAAATTATGTTGGTGGTGGTAGTGATGTTGTTGTTGGAGGAGGTGTTGGTGGTGGTGAAGGTGGTGAAACGGTATTGGTGGTGGAACCCGTCATGGGCCCTCCCCAGGGTCGACTCAGCCTCAAATGTGTACCTGATGCGGTGTGTAATATATCAGCACTGGGGAGACAAAGGCGGCCGGGCATGGTGCTGGCCACCCACCCCCTCGTGTGCTGTGGCGGCCTTCATAGGTGTTACTAACAGCACTTGCCCCAACATTCTGTTTAAGGCTATACGGGGGATCTTTGGTGGTGATTGATGGTCGTGGAGTGGTGGTGGTGGAGGTGGTAGATATCTGTATTTATTACAACAATAATAATTGATAGTCTTGTCAATCTACTTCGAGACGAATGCTTCCCAACACCGTACCGTTCTTTTTAAATATTCAACTACACACTTCACTACGCTTGTCAGCTCAAGGTTGGTGAAAGGTGGTGGCCTGGGACGGGTTCAGACGTCATTCGCCACTGACGGTAGCCGTGGGCCGGGAATAGAAAGTTACGCCCTATACTTGAACTTGAATACTCATCAGTGATGCTTTCAGAAATATGTAAATAAAGTGTATTACAAATATTCTTAGGTTTTTTTCGGTAAAGTCACGTAGGTAAAACATTAAAATTAATAAAAGTAAAATAAAATAAAAATCACGACGTTTCGGAGGCAACACAAGCTTCCGTCTTCAGGTGGAACCGTCACAGCCCGACAGCTGTATCAAGTAAATGAGAGATTACAGGAGATACCACTCCGTATATATAATGGTTGAGGGGGGGGGGAGGAATGGCCCACTTTTTTATTATTATGGTAAGGTGCGGTTTGAGACCATGAATAGACTGCACAACAAAAGACTGAGCCTTTTATTAATTTTAATGTTTTACCTACGTAACTTTACTGGAAAAAACCTAAGAATATGAATCCTTGCAGTCACGAAAGCTTCAAATCTAGAATTAATGTATTACAAATGACAGCATGGTCGAGGCTCACGACTGATCGGCAGCCACACGAGGGAGTACACTCAGAGGACGTTCTACCGTGGAGGTGGATCAATGAAATCCGCTTGTGTGCAGGCGCTAGATTGATAGTAGCTATGGATATAGATCTTGGCTCATAATGATCAAATGTCAACAATATGGCTGTTCTATTGCAGTCTTTAGCTGGGCGTGGCTTGCTGATGAGCCTTTGTCAGGGCGAAACTCTTCCATACCTCCCATGCCACGGACTGCCAGATGCCTGTCTGGAGGACGCTACCTGTCAAAAGGTTTGCATAGTACTGGATATTTATTTGGGTTGTCATCCATTGACTTTTTAAGTTACTTTTTGCTGGATTAAGTGTTTCTTTATTTGCATTAAACGGTTGTGAAAGTTCACACGGGATCAAAAGTTGCGCCGTCTTTTACCAATCAAATCTCACTGTAGAATGGGCCAAATATTTTAACATCGTTATTTTATTTTCTCAAATAGTGCATCTGTTGATGCTAAGGGAGGAAAAATGTGTGTTTTTGTTGTAGAAGTGAGATGATGGCTCAGTGGTTAGCTCATTCTGCTTTGAACCTGGCAACCTGAGTTCGATTCTTACCCCGCTGTCTTCACCAATCCACAGTGACCAGCATGGTGAAGTATGTTGAAACACACCCCCAGTAACTGAACAGCATATGGACGACTTCATCCAGCAGTGGGCTGATGGAGGGTTGCACATTAATATTACATATTCTTGGTTCTTTTGGTAAAGTCACGTAGAATGGAAATAATAAAATAATAAAAATAAACCATAATAAAATAATTGTCACGACGTTTCGGCCACAACGCAAGCAGCCGTCCTCAGGTGGAGAGCAGGTCTGTCGAGAAGACAGTCCACCTGAGGACGGCTACTTGCGTTGTGGCCGAAACGTCGTGAGAATTATTTTATTATGTTATATTTTTATTATTTTATTATTTCCATTCTACGTGACTTTACCGAAAGAACCAAGAAGATGAATCCCTGCAGTCACGAAAGCTTTAAATCGAAAATTAATATTACAGTTATATTGCAGCAGAACTGGTGTCAATTAGAAATACAATTACAGCAGCGGTGTTAGCTGAAATTACCATTGCATTTTGATTGCAATTAAGAATTGCACATTTACAATTGTGATTGGTCCCACATCTGTAGTGGAATCATTCCTTCTCCATGTTATTGTAAACGTGGTGATTCATCCATGACCTTTCCACTGTACATTTCATACACAACAGTAGCTAATTATAATGTCCACTCTTGCCTCCGGAAAAATTAAGATGCTGCCACTTACATTATGTGTATAGGGCTATTAGGAAACAGCAATTCATGTGTGTGAGCCATTGGACATCATGAATTGTGCAATCACACAAATTACATTGGACCATGCAACGGTGGTTCCATCGAGTTTTAATTTGTACATAAATCAAGTCATCTATTAGGAGCAGGGTCTATTTTTAGGAAATGTTGTCCAACTAACCTTCGGCCGCTGCCACGCAACACAGCACTTTCAATCCAGACGTCGTCGTTGGTTCGATTCAATCTCCCGGGTGTGGCAGTTGAAACAATGAGAGCAAGATTATTGAATCCCCCTCCCAGTGGCATGCCAGAATGTGAAATTGTAGCTGGTGCTTTGCATCTACATCAGCCATTCGAAAGAAGAAGAGGAATGGCAGGCCCCGTGTGGTGGGGTAAATTGTGGATCTTTTAACCGAATATTTGTCGTAGGCCACATTATCCAACACAGGAATTTTCGCGAGCTCTCAGTATTGGAGGCCCTTCACCCATGCAGGGGCATAAGCAAGAAATTGCAAGGCTGCACCTTTACATTTTACCCAACATAACGTTCCAAGGCATAAAACAACAGTTACAACGTTGGATATGAAGCTTATGTAACCATTATCATTTTATTATCCGTAATTGTAACATTGATCAAAGTGACCATTTTGTTATAACTATTCGCAGGATCGTGAGAAATGACGATGGCTTGGTTGAGGCCTTCATCCATCAGTGGAAGTATTATGGTTGATGATGGACCGTTAAATAGGCCTTAATTTGGAGCATGCCAGAAGGAAAATGAGCAATTAAATATATTCTCTGTTTTGTCTGCAACGGCAAGTGCGCACCCTACTTGCACTTGAAAAGTGACCACACATTCTATGCAATGAATGATCGATGTTTCCTATACAATGGGGCATGAAAATTGTCTATCGCTTAAACACACGTGCCTTCTTTTACCAGGTTTCTAGCTCACTCAAATTTGTTTACAAAAACATATAGATTATTGTATTGTAAACAGGTTTAGAAATTCGGTTAGATATATTATAGTTACGCCTGTGGGTCACTAAAATGTTCCTTGGAAGCCGAGAGCAGAACGCCACATGGGGCCCCCTTATTCCAGCATCCACAGGACCATTGTGGGGCCTTCTTTTGTGCGAAACCCAGAGCACATTGCCCCTTTCACCTCTGCCACTGGGCGGCCTTGGTTATACCAGCAAAGGTAGTGCTTCTTGCACTCCAGTTATTTTAGTCACCTGCACATGAATTGACTTATTTTGTGTGCAAGGGGCATTTATGGAATTTGTATGTTCCGTAGCATAGCTTGTCACGATGTTATTTATGTTCGTGCGTTTTGTGTGGTTGCAGCAAGAAAACGAGCATCTAATTTATTTTCTGTGTTTGATGGCGCAGGTACGTCACTTGAGCGCATGCGTCAATTGACGGTGTGCTGGTCTGCATGACTGCACCTTGCTGCACCTACTTAAATATTAACGCAGGGATGTTGAGATCACATCGATCGCAAAAGACAGGGATGTTGAGATCGCATCGATCGAAAAACGCAAGCCTCGCGGCTTGTATATTGCAGGCGCCGTATGAATATCGCGCCAATCAATATCTTATTTAATTTTCCTGGCAGTGTGTGCTGATTACCATCCAGCCCGGTTTGCATTGCTCTTCCTTTCCCAGCGGGATATGGGGACATAACAGACAGCCATGACTTGTCTGGTTCATGTCATTATCATCATAATCAAGCAGCTGCAGTAG